AACTTCGCACGTGCCACGTTGTCCAATTGAAATATTCTTCTTCTTCTTTTTTTATTTTTATCTCAAAGTATACTGCATTTTCCTGTCGAAAAAATTAAAAGTAAACAAATTTTACAATTTAAATTGTTTTAAATTATACCATTTTAATTATTAAATAATAACAAATTCCGTAATATTAGATATTTTTTTCCTTATTTAATGATTTTTATTTTATAATTTAATTCAATTCAAACTCTAAAATAGAAAACTCATTTAGAAATTCTTAATTTGAATTTAAAATTCTAATTCTTCAAGATAAAAATTTAATTTATTGGGGATTTGATTACAGTAAATAATTCAAAAGAGAAAGAAAATCAGTACAAATGGTTCTAAAGAATACAAGAAAATCAGAAGAAATTAAAAGGAAAAAAAAAAAAGAGAGAAAATTTCCAAAAAAAGGAAAAAGAAAATAGGAATCACATATGGAAATCAACATCTCCTGGATAAATTTCTGCACATTCCAACATTGTTTTCGTGTCATACAGAAGCTTCAATCCTTGGCTCGAAGGAGAATGCAGACATGAACTCTAGTGCTTCCCCATTCTTGAAACATTTGGGCAGTTCATCCCATTTATTGGTCACCAGATCACATAAAACATAGCTACAAAGCTCGGCAGAGCTTAAGCAGATGAATATCCTGTCGCCGGAGCCAACACAGTTTATATCCATCTTCTTGCCATAGAACTCTTGTGACATTGCCGGAGGCATTGCTGCAATATGGTGCCAAGACCTGGTTTTCTCATCAAAACTCCATACTCGAAGGCTGGCACTCTCCAAGAATTCTGATAACACAACAACTAGCATTTCCCCTTTACATTCTACCAAATCAATGGAGTACTCTGAATAACCAGGCAACAGCCTTGGATATTCGGAGAAGCACTCGTGGGTCAGATTGCAAGCCACAACTGTCCCTGAGGAGCTGAGGAAGTACACAGTCTCCTTGCCATCTTTAACAGTGATAACTGATGAGTACTGCTTGGATGGGCTTCTCTGCAAGTTGGTTGTCATTACATTTCCTCCTTTACTAAGGAAATAGACTGCATCTTCTTCATTTGAGTCATATTCTGAACTATCATTAACCTTTCTCTTCAAATTCACATTTTCTTCCCAGGAATCAGTACTGCAATTGTAGACCTTGAATGAGAGTTTTGGGAGCTCACCACATACCAAAACAAGCTTGTACAAGCCACTGTAGTTGGAATTTGCATTCATTGAAATGGCATGGAGAGACTTATCTTGCAGGGATGGATTCAGTGGAGGGAGTTCACGGCAGGAACCTGTCACTGGATTGCACACAATGAAGTTTCCAGAGAAATTCCTGAAGCAAACTAGGCCTCCAGATGCTGCAACAGGCATTGAGTCAATGTTGAAGTCTTCCATGAGGAGAGCAGGATGATTAAGTTTTTTCCAACTTCTATCATTGGAGTCAAAGACAACCGATTGGTTCAGACAGTTATTCACCATAAAAAACCAAGGATCCCGAGAAGGAATCTCTGAGCAAGCAAGCTTAAAACTTGTAGAAGATGCAACAGATCTCCATCTCTTGCACACTGAACCAAGGCGTAAGAATGTGGAAGTTGGTAACCATGAAAGGACCCTCTCTAGGATGTCTTCATGTAGTTCATCCATGGAGAAGCCTAAAATTCCGTCCTTTTCTTGAGACGACCTTCTTTTCCGAGATGCCTTCGAAATTGAACTGTCTCCATGCTCCATCGACTTAAACTTTCAGGAAAAATTGCTGCTATTACAAAGAATAATGCAAATGAGAAACACTTTCTAATAAATAAAACGGTAGTTGCTCATATCCAAGCCTACAAAACAACCTCAATACTCAAGTGGGAGAAAACCCTAACTAACTAATATGAACACTAAAAGGTCCAACATTTAATGGAAAATGGATAAGAACACTTCTAAATTAGGCCTTTTGCACATGTTTCAATTGAAGATTTGGGGTCAAAAGAAGAAGAATTGAGGTTCAATCCTGCTCCATTTCAACTCAAGTCAAGTAATTTCTCCTTATAAAATAATTAGAAGAATCAAACACTTTGAGGAAGTTGAGATTTCTCTATCATTAACACAAATCAAGGACATTAGCACCAAACATTTCACTTCTTTAACAAATTTCAATAAACCTAAGACAAAAGGAACAACAACAGAGGAAGGAAATCATCAAAAGAAAGTTGGCCAACAAGCTGAAAAACATCAATCCATCCCAAGATTCTCCATACAAAATGCTGAGATCAACAAGAATCAAGCTTGGAAAGAACATCAGAACCTCAGAAAACAAACAGGGAACAAGTTGGAGACAAAAAGAGAAATCAAAGGAGAAGGGGAATGTTACCAGTTGGTAGCTTGAGAGTGAGAGACTGAGAGCAAAGCAAACAGCAACTTGGTAAGTGGCGCTTGGTGAGGTGGGTCTTGAGGGTTTTAAAGGTGGACACACAATCTCCAAACAAAGAAAAGAAGAAGGAAAAGCGATCTACAGCACAGGGAAAGCAAAGGAAGGAAGGCAGGAAGCTGCCTGTGTAGGGGTTGCTCCTTTTAAACTTTAAAGCGTTGACACCATAGAGAAGGCCAAATTGCACAAAAGATAGGGGAGATGGTACCAAAGCACACGGGTGTTTTGGGACAAATAATGTCCTAGTTGACTCTTGTACTCGGCCACTACAATTCTCCTCTTGGATTCTATCTAGAAAAAACTTAAAGCATCACGAGTGTATTTAAATATATATATATATAGAGAGAGAGAGAGAGAGCAATTCAAGTGGTAGATTTATTATTATTATTATTTTTTATAAAAATAATGATTAATATGTTAATATTGTTAGATATTAATAATTGGAGATTCGATTTCTAGATCTAATAAACAGCCCACTGACCTCTATGAGGCACACGACCATCAAATCGCTTGGTGGAGTTTGATAGATTTATTAATTATTAGACAAAAGTTGAGATTTGATATTTAAGAGATTTCTTATATGATAATTTTTATTTTATAATATAATATAATTTAAATTATAAAATAAACAACTCTTATCATATGAAACACTTATTAAAAATTTTACAAAAATATTAAATAACTACATGGTATGGGTGGTCTTTACTAACTCCAT